ATCCCCCTAAAACATCTGACACCAGGCTGTGCCCCCACCTAGACACACTATCCCCCTAAAACGTATGACACCAGGTTGTGCCCCCACCTAGACACATATGTCCCCCTAAAACGTATGACACAAACCTGCGTCCCCACCTAGACACACATGTCCCCCTAAAACGTATGACACCAGGCTATGCCCCCACCTAGACACACATGTCCCCCTAAAACGTAAGACACCAGCATGTGTCCCCACCTAGACACACATGTCCCCCTAAAACATATGACACCAGGTTGTGCGCCCACCTAGACACATGTTCCCCTAAAATGTATGACACCAGGCTGTGCCCCCACCTAGACACACTATCCCCCTAAAATGTATGACACCAGGCTGTGCCCCCACCCAGACACACGTCCCCCTAAAACATCTGACACCAGGCTGTGCCCCCACCTAGACACACTATCCCCCTAAAACATGACACCAGGCTGTGCCCCCACCTAGACACACATGTCCCCCTAAAACATCTGATACCAGGCTGTGCCCCCACCTAGACACACTATCCCCCTAAAACATCTGACACCAGGCTGTGCCCCCACCTAGACACACATGTCCCCCTAAAACATGACACCAGCCTGTGTCCCCACCTAGACACACACCATCCCCCTAAAATGTATGTCACCAGGCCATGCCCCGATCAGGCACATGTGGCCAGGAGCTCCTGAGGCTGTCCTGGCGTGGCCCTAATCTTGGGAAGTATCGACTTTCTAAGTAGGCTGGGCCCTGACGCAGGTACTTTGGGTTCAGCACCTGGTGGAGCAGCCATGCTACCCACCCGCTCCCCACGGCCCCTACCCGGCTCCTTGTGCGGCTTCCCAGGGCGGCTGGGAGAGTCCCCCTTCGGCTGCAGGACCCCCAGACTCCTGCTCCGCTGAGGTTCAGTGGCCTCGCTGGCTGACTTGAGGTGCCCAAGGGCCACTCCCAAGGGCAGGGCCCCAGGGCCAGGCCGGGGTCTCCTGTGTGTGGCTCCCGAGTCCTTCTCCATCCTCCAGCCCAGCCTCAGCCCCGGTGCATGACTGGCAATCCCACCGCCTGCTGTAACACGGGGAGTGGTCAGGAGGTGCTGGGTGCACTGTTGCCATGGAGCTGCTGTGACATCACTGCAAGGTCAGAGGCCAAAGGTCTGCTCATCCCTGCCATAGCACAGCAGGGCCTTCCCTGCAGACCAGGGTTGGGGCGGGTTCTGCGTTTT